AAAAAATCCGATCATATAAATTTATCATATAGACATTACTTAGGTTTGATTTACATAGTGCATTGGATACCCCAATAGTAGATGATAGTTTGGCGGTGTTCTTAAATTAATTTCTAAAAGAATTGTACGTTGTTACTATCAAAATAACTATTTAAATGGATCAAAGAAATTATTCTTGTCTTTTTATTTTAACTGAATTTGATAATTGATAACTCGGCTCAACACATTTTTATCGATCTAAATGAAACCATGAAAACTTTTTCGACCAGAATCACCAACTATGAACTGCATGATTGTATTGATTTTGATAAAGTTATAGAAATTAATAATGGTGGTTCAGGAGTGATTTATAAATCTGAGTGTAAATGTTGCAAAATCACGAGAGCTCTTAAACGCCTAAGAGATAGTACACCAAACCAAAATTTCAACGGTGAGGTAAACGAACATTTTATTTATTGTATCTAGGTGCCTTAGAAAAGCAGTCCAAATATTTTTTTTTCACCTGTTTAAGCAGGTGATTATTATATTCCGAATAAATGTCAGCAGAGAGAGAGAATTTTTTTTATCATTTCTAATTGTAACTTATCACTAATACGCGATCGATTATTATTTAAATTTCAAATAAGGTAGAAATTTTGCAAAAGGCTCAAGGTCATCCTAATATCATTGCCTTCTATGGAGTTACGAAAGGTACGTTGTTACTGAATATTTTCTTAAAAGTTTATACACAGCGTGTGCTTTCATTATTCGAATGTTGGGCCTTAGCCGCACTGACCAAATACCCGGTGTGATGAGATTTTTTGTATAATAAAACGCGTGAATCACGTGATTATGCCATGTGCACACGCGAATAATAACGATAATATTTTATTTACAATATTTGTCACACCGAGTGCTTTTAGTCAGGTAATTACATTAGCCAACAAGCATCGCAATGAAAAAAAATGCTCGCTGGTTGGCTAAAATTTATAGCGCACCATAAGAATCACCTCAATTAAGCGATCACCGCGATCACCAGTCAAGGATGAACCCAAATTACGTAGTACATAGTTAAAAATATTTAATTCTGGTCAACAAATATTACTAATTCTACTGTTTAATAATTATCACAAATAGATCCTTCAAAAGAACATTATTTTATGGTTTTACAATATGTTGATAAAGATTTACGAGATTATTTAAGAGATAATTTCAAAGGTTTACAATTGATTGACAAACTTCGCATGGCTGAGGAAACTGCGCAAGGGTTTTGGTTTTTACACA